CCAGTTTCTCTTCTATGCTGTTACTGCCTAGCCAATTAAGTCTCATTTTATACACGGGCATTTGAGTTTTCCTAGATGCAAGTAGAATTTTGCAGTCAATCTCAGTTTAGTGATTTCAAACCATTCCTCTACTTTGGCGTGATCATTTTGAATTCTAATCCTGTCCTCCATGGAATTGCGACCCGTCCTAGCTTCACATCATCCATAAATGTTAAAAGTACACTCCAAAATCCATCACCCAAGTCATTAAAGAAAATAATAAGTAGTACCACCAGTAGTAGTAGCAGTAGGCATTTGTCTGTCTCATTACAGGTACAAAGTAGTTGGGCTAACATACAATAGTGGCAACTATTTTGGAGATTTCCACAAACGTGGTGAGACAGACCTGGCATTACTATGATGCAATTTTAGAATTAAAAAAGGTAGGGTGTAGTGATACACCAGCAACTGAAAAAAAAGAGTTCTCCAAAACTCTTAGGAAGTCAGTAGCATCACATCCAGGAAAAAACCTCTGTCCCCCAATCTCTGGGATTCCACTTAAAATATCCCTATAGTTTATCACAAACTATTGACAAGTGTTTTGAGTATGCTTTCTAAACAGGGTGTTCACCCACTTCATAGTTATTATATCTACACCAAATTTCCTTAATTGACTTATGAGAACATCAGGTGGGACTGTAGCACAAACTTTATTAAGATCGACATAAAAAAAGATCAACTGCTTCTCCCTACCCTTTAGGTCATTTTATCAAAGAAAAATAAATACATTTGTTCAACATGATTTGTTCTCAACAAATCCACGGTGGCTATTTTATCTTCAAGGAACTTACAAATGGATTAATAATTAGTTCCCATCTCTCTGCAAGTAGTTAAAGGGCTTGTTTCACACAGCTCCTTTCATAGCCGCACTGTTATTTTAACATGCCTTGATTTGATCATTTATGCCATTTTATCAACCAATGGAGGATTGCAAGGTAGGTGTCAGACATTTTTCGATTTAAAATGAAGATGACTGTTCTCTCCCAGCTACCGCATACCGTTATCCTGTCTAAGGTCAGACATTCGATCAATCATCTGAACCACAAGTTATATTAGCTTGTGACTTAACTCTGATACATTGCTTCCTCACAGTCTTTCATAGCAACCATTGAAGAAGCATGAATATTTTTCCTTTGCATAAGGGTTTGCTAAATTGAGAAGTCTCTGAAACACCAATTTAGGCAATGATCACTCTGCTTCCAGCCATACTTTGTCACTCAGGGAAGTGGGAAGAAATGAGGTGAACAATCAACATTACAAGGGTAAAGCAAACTGCAGTAGGTCAATACAGATCCCATGGGGAAAATCCATTAATTGTTGAATGACTTCAAGGTAATTCCAGTCTTTCATACTAGGGTTTGATTTTAAAAGTCCAACCAGATATTAAAAATGTATTTGGATCATTCAGGTCAGTTTAAAAGACTACTTTAAAAACACTAGGTTCTTCCACATTAGCAACTCTATAGAAGACTTCATATTCACCTGGCCATCTTCCATTTTGGTCTTTGGAAAATTGAGTATTAGTTTTGTAGCTTGTTCCCATTTTGTATGTGTATCTTCCCAAGCCTAAAACAGAACACATCAAGAATTTCAGATATTTACATTCTAGAGTACTTACAATGCCACCACTACTGACTGCTTTCAAACCCAAGATACCAATAAGGAACATTTTAATGGGTATGGCGGGGGGGAAAAGGGGACCCAAAAACCTTACTTCAGTATTGCCTGCAGTTGGATGTTCAATGCGTCTTAATAATGCCATCACTCTTTTCTGAAGAGCTGCTCTCCCTAAGTGAGAAAGATGTTTAAAATACCTTAGATTAACTGTATTCATTTTTAAGGTATTAAAGTGCAATACACACACATACCCCTTCAATCAGATAGAAACCCATTTACATAAAACACTCACAAATATACTCACATTACAAACAAAGTACATTCTCAAAAACAGTTTTTCCTACACTTACCTATCAAGGACTTAAAATTGAATATACAGCCTTGTACAAGACCTGACATCACTACCATGCAGAAACTGCGGGAGGAAGTAATCTTCAAATATTTGGTATTAAAATAAGGTTTGTATATTTTAACCCTACATGTGATCATATTTATGTAACCTGTGCACTGTTTTCAGGAATTTACATGATTCATAAGGATAAGGCATAAGTATTAAGCCATTTTAGTTATATCAGAACTCATTTTAATAAATTCCAAAACACGCTACTTTGAGTTTAATAGTCAGGTGCCAAGTTTGCCAACGGACTTCACCAGTCTCCTCATTCTTACCTGTTGACATCATATTGCTAACAGATGCAAATTCCATGAAAGTGTTGTAGTTTGGCAAAAAATTATGGACCGAGACTTCATCTACTGCACACCTGATGTCCGCTTCCTCACAAAGGTGACGGAAACAGGACATTGCAACTAGGACTGCCTCTATGTCAGGGCTCCACAGAAACATGTACAAAGCAACCTCCAATTTTGTCTGGGCTTGACGACAGATTGATGTTCCGCTGCATCCTGCTGTACTTTCCTTGGGGAACAGAAATGTACAGGTTTGGTAACACAATTTACATGTTAGGCAGCTTTGTCCAAGTCTGGCCTCATTTAAATTCTCTAGTGAATTATCTGTATTCTCACAGCACCGAGGAGCCCAAAGCAATATCAAGGCTCTGTTGTATGGGGTTCATTAAGAGAGAGTCCCTTCCACCAACCTCGTACAACTTAAATGGATAAACTCATCGGTGGGGGGTCAGCAGGGAATAGGGGATACTCTTTTACCCTCAGGTTTACTAGAAATAATGGCCACAAACTAAAGGAGAGTAGATTTAGATTGGATATCAGGAAGACATTCTTTACGGTGAGGGTTGCCAAAATGTGGAATGGGTTTCCAAGGGAGGTGGTGCTTTCTCCTACCTTGGAGGTGTTCAAGAGATTAGACGGGCACCTAGCAGGGGTTATTTAACCCAAGCACTCTTTCCTGCCTAGAGCAGGGGGTCAGACTCGATGATCTACAAGGTCCCTTCTGACCATAGGGATCTATGAAATCTATGTAATCTAAGACAGTTTAAGCATGGGAGAAATTAAGTATTACGCTTGTACTTTTGATAGCATGTTTCTCCACCATCAGCTGGCAGCGAGCACATCTACACGTTCATTAATGCGCAGTAACTGTCTATAACTATAATAATACTGTTCAGTAGAGTATTAGCAGGGTTGGTGCTGTGAGGCACTACTGAGCAGTATCATGAGACTACTGCGCAGTAGCCTCTCGTTTAGACATGGCAGTTTGTACCAAGTTAATGCTTTAAATATCCACAGCATTTTGTCAGGACCGAAACAGAATTTCATTAGGATTGCACACATCAGTTGTGGGAACGGCGTTTAGGTTGTGTTCGTTCACTTGATTTTAGGAAGATTCCATCTGAAGGTGTCAGCATGCGACTGGGAGCGAGACCTGTCTCTAAACAATTATTCTATGTGCCCTTCTGCTTTAGTTTCAATCAAAATAGGAATACGACTTCTTCTCTCCAAAGCATGAAGATGAATTTACATTTGTAAAGTGCTCTGAAGATAGCAGTGATACTTACACATTAAAGAGTAGCAAAAAAAAGTCATTTAAAAAACACAAATCAGAAATCTTGGCTCATAGCGCATTGATTAAAACATCCTGCTGATGTTGTCCACAGCTGTTCCATGCTGTAGAGCCAAAAACAAAAATCTGCCTGTGAGAAACAAGGGTGAATGTTCCCTGATTTCTGCTGTGCTTGTTTCTGTTTCAGGCCTGAGGTTTAGAAACTTGGAGTCTGAGAAATTACTAAATGCGGGCATGAAATCGGTTATGGTTTAAACTGAGCTAAGGTAGCCCGATATTTTAATTTCAAGATGGTTAAAACTTTACTGCATTACTCAAACTTGCACAGCACTTCAGATACATCTGTAACCTGACCAAACATCTACGTGAATTTACAATCTCTTCTACTATTTCCCTGGTAAACATTTCAGATGTAACTCATGCCACCCCCAAATAGTAATTCAATTTATACAGTCATACTGAGGTTCAACCCCCTAAATACAGCAAAGAGATTTAAGAACGATACAGAGTGCAGCACTTACCATAGAAGAGTTCCCTTTCCCTTTCCTGAATGTAGCTCCTGGAGCACAGCGTACCATCTCTTCGTGGTCAAGAGAAATTTGACTAGCTCCACCCCCAGAGACATCGCATCCTACCCCATAAAGGAAGAGAAAATGACAGGAACTCCTATCTGATTGCTATAAAGAGAGGGAAGAGAAATAATAAATCACGCTACTTTTAAAAGGGCAAAAGGATGGTTTACAGGAGCTATACTCATGAAAGGAAAAAAGGCCTCTTAACATGTATATAGTATCTTTCCATCGTGAGAACTCCCAAAGAGCTTGGGAGGAAAAAAAAATACGTGTACATGGTAGCTACTGCACTCATCACTGATACGTAGCCACTTTCACGGCAAAATGCATAGAGCAATACTACTCAACTGTTTAGGAAAGGAAGTCAATACCACACCCACGTTAAATGCAGGGAATATCTAGTGGGAATCTGGCCTGAAGGCTTGAATTAATACCCATATTATTTCCAAGTGTGTGCGTGTAATCAAGGTGGCACAGAGAGTTTATTTCTTAAATTGTTTAATAAAGCAAGGAAAAAAAAAACTATTGCTTCTCAGCCTTTTGGCTCAGATCAAATGTTGCATCTTGAAAGATATCCAGACACCTGCTGCAGCTCAGTGAAGGAAGATGCTAACTCTTTCTCTTTATTGCATTGTTTTTTGAAGAAGTCTTCTGGCTTAGAACACTTGAAGATTTAGTAAAGAATGATAAAAGCAAGTTACTTTGGCCTAAAAGAGCAATCCCTATGCTCAAAGGCTGATGCTTTGGACAGGAAAGACCTCACAGAAGCCCAAGGAGTAAATAGGAGAAATTCTCCTTTCCTTTGTAGAGAGAGTAGGGCAAAAATGGGAAGCTGGCAGAGAGCAAAAAGAGCACAAGAATAGTTTGGGGCCATCTGAAAGGGGCATGTTTGTTCTATAACGTGCCTTTTGAAGCTCTTTGGAAGGTACTTCCTAAAGTAAATTTAAAAAATCAGTGTTCAATTATTAAACCTAGAGATCAAGCGATGTGAAAACCTCCAGAGGAATTGATATTTTATGCACATAGAAGTATTTCTTTATATGTAAGAGGCAGAACTGTCTCTCACTCCTAAAAACAGAACATGAGCCCACATTTGTTAAATAAGTAAGTCTATTTAATGCCAATATAGTTACATTTAAGTTGAATATTCCAAACTCTTAGGAAGGAAAGAAAGTGAAGGCTCTAATAAAAGTCAACCATGGGGTATTTCATCATTTTTTTCATAAATTTGCATAATTTATTATAGGTTTTGTGTGTCACATGAAAATCAGAAACAGAAAATACTATATGACAAATGGAGCAGAGCTAACGTTGCTCTAAAAACCAATCATGGCCTTTTTCTGGCTTTGCAATTGGTGTCTAAATGGGCACAGAAGAAAAATAAAACAATTTCATCACAAGTGCCCATTTCTCAGAACTGGACTCCATATACTGCATATTTAGTTGTTCTCCATGCTGCAATGGAGCAGCGCGGAGGGGTTTTTTTGACCCCTGGATACCCAGGGGTCAAAAAAACCCACGGAGAAAAAAACCAGGGCAGCACGCACACAGGTAGTGTGTGCTGCTCAAAAGCAGAGGTGAGCCACCCGGAGCCACGCTGGCTGCCAGCCAGGCTCCACGCAGCAGAATTGCAACCCCAAGAGGCCCTTAGGTAGGGGCCCGCAGGTAGGGGAAGCTGGCCACAGCCTCCCCTACCCCACCCAGGGGACTTGCCACACACCAGAGTGTGCGTGGCATGACCATTCCCCGGTGGCACAAGGTGGACGCTCCTAGTTGTCCCCGGGGAACCAAACATCTACACTACATATGGACACGGCCTATGTGAGCTATATGTCATCTTCTCAACACAATCAAATGTGCATCACGGTAAAAGGACCCAAGAAGAGCAAGAATGAACAGAATTATTTACTAGAGAAAAAAAGTGGATAAGCTTTACACATTTCAACATATGCCTTCTTTCCATGTCTTACTGAAAGATTTTGTTCCATCTAGATAGTAACTGAAGCCGTCTTCATATCCAGCCTATGGAATTGAGAACCTCTGGCTAAGTCATGGAAGCAGGGAGAAAGACAACTCCAAACATCTTTCATCACACAATTCAGGCAAGAATGAAATCGCACCTTGTTCTTATGGAGGATGGTGGATAAGTCAAGAGTGCGAAAGCTGAAAGCAACCAAAAAAGCTGCCTCCAGATAAAAATCATAGAAGTTATGACTGAAGAAAATCCCATCTATTTGGACAGGACCAATTCACGATCATCAGCATCAATAAATGTCAACAAGCACAACTGAAGATGTCAATTGAGCTTCTTTAATGCATAAGGTAAGATGGATGAACCATCTCCAGGAATAATTACAAGGTAAAATTCCAGAAATGTAAAGAGACTCGATTTCAGACAAGAGAGGACCCCAACTACAAAAGTTACTACATGTGGCCTGAGGCACTCTGCTTCCAAAACCCCCGGAAAGAGATTTATGTTAGAAGAGAAGTTGTGAGGGAAATCTTACAGGAGACTATAAAGGCTCCTATGTCATCAAAGAGGTTTCTATAAGCTTAAGAAAAATAAGATCTAAAACGTGTCAAAGCAAGTTGAAAGCATTATGATGATTCTTTAGGGAATCATGAAAGAATTAAGTGAACTAGTTTAGTTGTTGCATTTTAGTAAGTGTAATATTAAATTAGAGATAGCCAAAGAACAGGCCAGCTAGTAGTCAACATAAAATATAATAGAGAAAAAACTCATGTAGTACCAAAACTAGCAGTAGGGATTGAAGAGGGGAATGAGTCATTTTCCTATTCCAACCTGGATATTAGCTCTTATCTAAGAGTTCTGTGTAGATACAGGACCTCCAGCAAGAAATCATAACTGTTTTAGCACTTTAACAGTCATGTTACGTAGAACTTAAGGCAGAGAACCAAATCTTTTATCTTTATGCCTTTAAAATACCAAGAGTAATTCAGCAAATCTAGTTTTCAATCTACCAACTGACTTCTTTAGAGGTACTGTTTCAATGAGTGTCCAGTCTGGACACTCTGCAATATTTATGTGGGATGATCAGGAAGAAACAGAAAAGAAGTTTCTGCAAGTCTTGCCACTATGACAAAGGAAGTATCATCCCTCTCTCTTTCTTGTGTGGAGGGTATTTCTGATAGTGTTCATTCAGCACTGGTGAGGCCACATCTGGAGTACTGTGATCAGTTTTGGGCCCCCCACTACAGAAAGGATGTGGATAGCCCAGTGGAGGGTGACAAAAATGGGCTGTGAGCTGGGGGACATGACTTATGACTGGAGAGGCTGAGGGAACTGGGCTTATTTAGTGTGCAGAAGAGAAGACTGAGGGGGGCCTTACTAGCAGCCTTCAACTATCTGAAGGCAGGCCCGAAAGAGGATGGAGCTGGACTGTTCTCAGTGGTGGCAGATGACAAGATAAGGAGCAACCATCTCAAGTTGCAGCAAGGGACGTTTCGGTTAGAGATTAGGGAAAACTCTCTCATGAGGAAGGCAGTGAAGCACTGGAACCGGCTGGCCAGAGAGGTGGTGGAATCTCCATCCGGTTTCTAAGACACCAGTAGACAAAGCCTTGGCTGGCATTTAGTTGGGGATGGCCCTGCTTTGAGCAGGGGGTTGGACTGGATGACATCCTAAGGTCTCTTCCAACCCTAACTTCCTAAGAAACAACACCTATTAGATCTGCAAAATCATCACTTCAAACCCTCTGGAGGACACACATTTCCTCTGGAAAGAGAAAAAAGGCAAAACAAGTCATTTTAGCTAAAAGAACCTAACCATACTGAGACCACTCAAGGCCAGGGTATATAATTCAGGGCATTTTCACTTTCTCTACAGTGCACATATTTAACTACCAGTGGAGCTAGTAATATTTTTTTTTCAGTCACCAAGAAATAATCTGATATACTGAGGGAATAAGCAAAAGGAGGGATATAAACCTAATGCTTAATACTCTTAATAGATTCTGGTTAACATTTACTTACTTTATTTTTTAGAAGAAACTTATTCCTACAGATCAGAATCTCTCGCAACCACTTGAGGATTTCTGTATTGCTGAGTATCTGATGATTAGTTAGCTTCTTGCAGATATAAAACAGCATTTGTGAACTGCAGTGAAATGAAATTCAGTATTAGCTTTATCATCTAATAACCAAAGTAACATCTCTAGAAAGAGATAGAACCATATACCCTCACATCATCAGTAGGAACATTCTGTGCAGGCATAACAATGCCGTTTTTAATTTATATGGAGAGATGCATTTCAAATGACAAACCCCCTTCCCCACCACCCAGCTGACCTTTTTTGTTCTCTAAAAGGAAGTCAAGCAATTTGGATACTTGTCAGAAGTTGTCTGCTTACCCACAGAACAGATTCAGCACAGACAGTGGCAGGACAAGTTTACCTACACTGCTCTGACAACGTGTCTCAACTCTGTTCTGGAAGGAACACATCTAGGGATGTTCCTTCTTCATATCCATTCAGTCCTCCCACTCTCTGTTAAAACTGTCAAAGGGTCCAAATTAGTGTCAAATAGAATGGCTTTTACCCCAGCCCAAACAGATCACACACTCATTTGAGACATATGAAGTTGCATTCGTGTATTGCAATTACTGCCCAACTCAACAAGAAACAAACCAACATTTCAAAATTTAAATTTACAAATCTTTTCAGCTATATATTGCAGGCACGCAGGCTACTTTTCTCATGCTGATAAAAGTGTTCTCTAGAACAGGCATTGACTACCTTAATCCTACAATTATATCTGTACTGATTCTGTTAATCATAAAAGATTACAACTAACCTGTAGAGCTTTTCAGTTTACAAATATTAAGCTAATCCCCATTTAACATCAATGTCCATTTTTGGTCTCTTGAGCACTACTATAATTTTTACCCTAATAGTCTGGCTGAAATTGCTGCATTAGCAGACTTGGAAGAGACAATATTATTTAAAGAAAAAAAAAACAGAAATATTTTATTAAAATGCGATCCTTAAGACACATCAGTTGACCCAAAGATTAGACTGCAAGGAACTAGCACAGGGGCAGATCTTGGTTTCAGTCTCGCAAACCCGCTCTTTGGAGTTGCTTAGACTTATCTTGCCCTCTCCCTCAAATGCATAAACACAATTTTTTTAAAAAGTGAATAAAAACATTTGAACTAGATAAAACCTGTCTTTTCATGTTTAGTTTAACAGGTGCAGTTACAACTAAATAGTGAACTTCAGATGCCCTTTAGTAGTCAGAAAGGTCTCACAATTTAACCAGTACAGTGCAATGACAACTTGCTATAAAGCTGAGTAAGACGGAGTACTTTTAAGCAATTGTGATTTTCAGGATATGCGATTATACAGCTTTTCCCCCTCAGAGCATTTCTTCAACCGCAGCTATTTCAAAAGAAAAGACATCTTATATGGGGCTATTTATCTGATGTATAAAAGCTAATTTACCTACCTAATCTCCCAAAACGTTTCTATTGGCGCATCTGGATTCCATAAGTCAATGCTGTCTAACTGATGAAGAACTAGCAAGGCCTGAATTCAGAAGAGAGTAGCTTTTTTACTTCATGGAAAATAGCTTGCAAAGTACTTCAGCATAGCCAGAAAAATAGATTAAATATACATGAATCCATTGTCTGCAACATTCATTTTTAAAACAGAAAATGTAATGGGAGCAAAATATTAGAAGCAAACTTTATATGGAAAAGTAAACAATCAAGAAAAGTGCTGAAGTCGTCTTTTTTAGCCTTTACTAAATATCTGCAATCCAAGCAGGATCATTCATCTCACATTTAAATCCACACAGTAAAGCAAGAACACAGCAAGTTTTTGGTTTTTGTAACCAGAGTTTGGGGGCTTTAAATGTGTACGTCTTTGACCCACCTGCAAAAAACAATACAAAAGCAATCCTACTGGTATAAACATAAAACAGCAACACCACAAAACATCTATAAGTTAAGGTCTCCCAGCAAAAGCAGGGAAGACTGACTATGATCCCTGAAGTAGCAAAAACTGAATTAAGATAAAGAATTGGGGGAATACTAGAAAACTTTTTATTTTTTAATATCCATTTGCTCTTCTTCCTTTTGCATGCTAGTTCTGCTCACTTTTCACAGTTATTCCAATGGACAGTTTTCATTAGCAGAAGTATTTAATGAAAAACACATTTTGAAATACCGGAGAATTTAGCATGTATACAAGTCATAGTTCCCAAAACTGAACTACAAAATTAACTATATGAGGTATGTATCTAAAGCCAAAAGCTCAATTGTCAAGGTACTCCTACATAGAAGACCAATTTCTATGAAGAAATACAGCACAGAATATTACCAAAGAATAAGCAACAACACTATTGGAACAAAATTATGTGCCCAGCCCTCAATCTGGCCAGCCCTCAAGAGAAAGGGAAATTTAATATTCAAGGTTGTCACCTCACCTTAGCTATATATACCAGGGCACTGTGGAAAAAACTAAAATGCCTCATGCAACATCACCTACTGTTTGAAACCCCCAGTATGCAGCCAAGGGAATTGAAAAGAAAAAAAAAAATGAACTTGCTCTGGTACAAAGGAAGTTTTGCTTCCAGTGATATTCTACCAGTTAAAACAGACCCCCACCACCTAACAATATTCAAATTATTTTCAGAATAATACAGAACAGGAACTATTTTGAAGTAACTATGTTAAGAGAAAAGCTGCTCGGTAAGGTTACTTCAAAATCAACATGCCAGATCCTCATTAAGTGCAAACTGGTATAGCCAACACACTGGTCTGCGCTGGGAGAAAAGCTGCCTCGGCCTGCCTAAGTTGTAATATCTACAGCAAATCAAATCCTTCTCAGAACTACTACAGCATGGCACAGCACACTGCAGGGATAGGTGCTGTTATACCTTCATGAACTGCTCAAGTCTTTCAGGTTCAGCAGGCTTACTGTTATTTTAAAAAATATATATATATATATATTCTAAAGTGCCAAGAGGATACATCCTGGTATATAAATCTTGCAGATTTGGAGGCAATGACTCTTGCTGGAAACGTTATGGGCAGACTTCAGTTTAGCTACAAAAAAATTAACTAAGCAGGAATAGCCATTACTATACACTGCTTTACTTTTTCCTTCAATATCTTCAGGCGTTTCCATCCAAAACAGTGGAAGACAGAAATCCTACACACAGACATATGTAATAGATCCAGTGGCACATGAGTCTCATATTAAAGCAAGCCAACAAAATTTAATGAGAACAGAGGATACCTTTCTTCTTCCCCCACACACAGAAAAGTTGAAATTTGCACTGGGAATGTATCTGAAAATCTGTATATACTTAAGCGTATGAAAATATATAGATGCTTGAAGCTGAACTTGAAACTTGCTTAGAAGCGTAGCTCTGATACCATAAAAAGTCTTGGAAATAAGAAACAACTGTCTTGCTTGCTAGACAACTGCAGCTTGCTCAGCTTTTCTGGTTTGAGAAGTTTACTCAACGTAGGCAGAAGCTGCTAGAAGTCTTGCCATCTCCTTACCACTTGCTGAATCACCAAGCAATATAATAATTGTCCGCTCAACTTCTACCCCTCTCGCCCCGCAAAAAAAAAAGAGGGTGAATCTCTCTCTCAAAGCCATTTAAAAAAGGACTGGGGAAGATGAAGGACTGATGGAGGGGTTTAAGGGTGTTCTACAATGAAGTAACAAAAACATCAGGAACTCGGTCTAAAAGACACTGATGACGAGATACTAATTAGTAATGGCCTGCCATACTAAGGAATGAATGATTTTCTGAGACAGGAAAAATGTAAAAGGCAAACTCCCTACTGCACCCCTGAAAACTTTTATTTTAGTCTCTGCTATAAAACATTCAATTGAAGATACATTTAAAAAAAAATAAATGAATCAGAGCTACTCAAACAACACAAAGGCTTGGAAACAAATTAGTACTCCAGAGCCTCTACAAGAATCGTGATATACCTGGTAGTCGGCAGGCTAATCATCCCATGTGTGTATTATCAGCCCTTACCTCCATGGCTTCTTGTGCTATTTCTGGCATGTTGGACTGTGGAACAAGTTGCACAAGTCCTGTAATTAATTCAGCAGTGCTACCCTGGGTCTCCGGCCCCTGCTTCCTTGGATTCTAAAAGCGGAAAAATGGTTTAAAAAGTAAAACTGTTCTATAATTGGCCATACTACTTGCCATTAGAATGCATTAGCCCTTACACACCCACGCAAACAGCATTTAGTTGTTTGTTTTAATTAAGTTATCTTTGGCACTTCTTTTAAATGATCTAGAATTTTTCTCCAAACTGAAGAGTGCAAAAACCAGGCTCAAAGTTTGACAGTGTCTATGAGACTCAATTTCAGTCAAATCAATTTCACTGCTGGTTAATACAGCACATGGATGAGTTCTCAAGGTGTGCATTTACCATAGCTGAAGCAAATTTCTGTCTCTGTGGAGACAGTGGATCCCCATACTGGGGGCTGTTGACTCTCAAAAGACTATTTGCAAAGAACTTTATGGAATACTCATTACAGCATGAATTTAAAGCCAAATCATGACTTGATGCGTTTATTTTTCTCCCTCTTTTCTTTCATGTTTCCTCTGTGACGGTTTTGGCAAAAAAAAGATGGTAGATAAGTCACCACTGCACTTCCCGTCAAACATCAAAGAAAAGAATGCAACAATAGAAGTTGGGGTTTAATTCCCTTATTTCTAGTGTATTTTTGTCTTTCTGTTCATCAAGATTTTTACCCTAATTCTTTTTCCTGACGTTTTCCTAATACTCTTCCCTAACCAACTTAATTCCCCCGTTCTATTCTTCTTCGTTAGGTTCATTTGGCTTATTATAACTTCACGCCAGTTCTCTCTAGAACTTGATTTCCTGGCATTTCATCTGTTGCCTCTCCTTCCATATTGATCAGGACTGAGATGGCTGGCTGAGGTCCACAAGTCCAGCCCACCCTGGTTCAATTCAGCATTTGTCACCAATAAAAAGAAATGGACCGGCATGTCACTGATGTTTATACAAGAAGTGACAAAAAGTAAGGCCGCCTTTCCCAACTGCATTATAACAGGGTGAAAGAATGGAGTGGAGCAGTAACCTGGAGGAAGGCATGCTGTGTTTAAGCTCTTATTTTTACTCATTGTCCAGATTTTATTTTTTTGGTACTTCAGAAACTTAAATTTGAATTTCAACAGCATTCAATGATCACACAAACGCTGAAAAGCTTTTCAGTATTTCTTGGAACATCAAAAGATATCACTAATGCAAGAAGTAACATTTACTTACACATAGCAAGAGCTTTGGATCAGCATGGATCAGTTTTACCAAGGCTAATAGCAAAAACTTATAACTTCTGGTTTCCAAGTCTGTGGGTTTTTCTTTAAATTTAAGGCTTGTCATTTTCTCTCTTAATGTAAGACTCTAAGGAAAAATTATGATACCATTTGTCAGTATGATTTTTGTTTTTTAAACACAGGAAGTTGATAATTTAACATTTTATAAAATGTAATCCTTATATATAGTCAAAAATGCATGAGGGTATAACTACTGTACACAATGGGCATGTCTACAAGAGACACTGCCGTGCAGTGGTTTACTGCGCATTTATTTAGTACTTGTATAAGCAAGTACTAAATAAATACACGGCAACCGGACTTACTGTGCAGTAGCACCAGCAAACACCTTTTAAGCACAGTTTTTGCCACACAGTAGTAGCAAGCTACTGCACAGTCAGCACCTCATGTTGACATGCCCAGTACAACTAAAAATTATGCATTAAATTCAATGAAATACAGACATCGTGTAATATTGTAATATAATGTTTTATATAGTATAAGTCAGCTTGTTTAAAAATATGCTATGACTTTTCTAAATGTATACTTGGCCAAAAATAGATAAATAAATAAGACATTGGTGAATTTAACCTGGAGATATTTAGAAAGTGGGGGAAACTTGTAGGGAATAAATTCTTCCAGAACCAGGAGGAATCAGATGGGTATACTAGTACGAAAGAAGTCATTTTTCCTTTTAACCTTCAAAAAAACAAAACCTCATAAAGAAAGGAACAAAATTAAAGCACAGGCATGTAAACTGACTATTTTTACTGCTAATAAAAACAAACACAATTTCAGGTAAGAGCTTCTGGGTTCTCACTAATTTAATCCCATGTTTTGAGCAGTGTTATTTCTCGTCTTAAAAATACGTCTTGATGCTTTCACCAGATGCTGCTGCATCGTTAATAAAATGTGTAGAGTCCCATCAACAGATGCTTAATATCAGAGAAAGTTAACTTCATCTAAAGAAATACTACTCATACAACATTCAACTTCCTCTTCTGCACCAGAGATTCCAAGGCCTCTATTCATCTGAATTCACAAGGGGGCCTCTGCAATTTAGATATGAAACATAAATGTGAACCAAATCAGATTCTGCCATCCTTATTCACAGTAAGGGAGAGAATGCATCTCTATAAAACCTAAAACCTATGCACCAAGCAAACAGGCACATATTGCATCTTACAAATATATGGATGTTGCTAATTCCAAAAACTTTGAAATTCCAAGCATGCCCCAATGCTATAAAAATTTAGACATACCTAACACTACGCATATACTATTGTATGCTGGCTATGGTTTCTTAAACTCACTAAGAAAGAACATTTTGGCTAGACTCGACTCCTTGGAAAAAAGATTATCCCATTTGAATAGCATCTATCATAGTAAATGTTGGTTCATGAGTAGGTTTCCTGTGTGTGACCACAATGTAAGCAATAAACATATAAAATAGTTAAATCCCGGAACAAAAGATTACAAGCTTCTAATTTAAATTGGACATGTGCTTACTAATTTTGTCCCATGTATCCTGTAACTGGCATTATTTTTGTTTCCTCTTAAAAAGTGTTTAACTGTATTTTAATGATGGCATTTCAAATCTTTTAGCATTTTTGCTGACTATGAACAAAGCACCCCAAAACAGGACTGCATAGCAGGTCCTTTAGAGTTTTAAGCACAGCAGTTAAAAGAGTGGAAAAAACTGCTCTTTGAAAAAGTGTCCTTCAAACAGGAACCCTGAAGTTGCAGGCCTTGTTTTCACTTTTCATTCAATAGATGTGCCTTTTGAACACACAGCATCAGATTAAAAGCCCATTCTTGATCTCCTCTTAAGTGAAATGTGGTATTGTGCAACTGATTTCACTTGAAATTTGATCATCCCAAATTATTTGGCTGAAAATTTTATTCTGATGTGAAAGATAAACTAAATCCTTTGACCCACAAAACCTGACAACTGTCATACAAGAGGAAACCACTAGTTATATAATAGGGCTGTGTGAAGCTTTGGTCACTAATTCGATTCAGTGGATATTTGGCCCGATTCGGCAGCCGAATCTCCAAATCCAAATCGAATCAGAAGACCCTTTAATCTCTCTGAAATCGGAACCCTCCAAATCGATTCGGAGAGATTTGGCGATTCAGACATAGACACAGCTTTAAAAGTTTTTTCTATGCATCTCAAGGTACCAGGCGGCTTGTGAATGCTGTGATGGGTCCCATAGGACTGCGGGGGTGCTCCCCAGTGCACTCAGCAGCAGACCCGGAAGTGGACCAGAAGCCCTTCCGGTCTGCTTCTGGGTCCACTGGGGAGCACGCTGCCCTGCCCCTCCCCGCACTCCCCCACTTCAGCA